ATTCAAATCCAAGTTTAATTAATATGCAACACTCAAGGTGGAGGTGTAAACCAGGCTGTGTAAGGCCAAAACAGCCTCGTTTTGAGATGGCAGTGCCTTTGGCTTTACACAGCCCTTTTTAGGCATGCTTGCCATGGCTATGAGCTTTCACTTTTACGTTAATTATTTAAGTGTTTCGCCAATGGGGGCAACAGGCCTCTACGTTTGAATCTTGGTTTCATATTTTGACACCTCTACTACTTGGAATTGTTTTTCATCTCTTGATTTTCATATCTACATTAATTAATCCAGATCCATTTTGGTTTTCTTGCAGGCATTCCCAAAGGGTTCTTGTTTCACTGCTGCTGTATCAAAAGAAGTTCTAACTATGAAACAAAACGGAAAGATGAATACCCTGAAATGTCTTTTTCTTTCTTTCTTGAACAGCTCCTCATCAGATCACCAAATCGATGACCTAAGTTTATACCTTTCACATTTTTCGGGTCCATTAATTTTTTCAAGTATGACTACTGCAATTGTATTCTTGATCATGGTTGTTCGTGTAATTCACCAACGATGGTCGATTCATGACTCAATACAATCTTTACTGATGCACAGAAGGATTTCCAGATGGGCATCATTTCTTTTAGTAAAACAGCATGCAAGATTTGGCTCAGGATTATTTGGGGATCCCACTGTTCAGAGACAGAATAATTTAACCAATATTGCAACTGAAAACTGAGGCGTAGGAGTGCTAACTAGAGCACCTAACCATTTTAATTTGTACACTCATTTTTCACATTCATATTTAGTATAGAAAGTTTTCAATGATCAAGGAATTAATGAGCTATCTACGGATAAATCTGGAGGCCTTTTCTCTACAGATTGTTTCCAATGATGCCTTTGCTGTATTTTTCAAAATGTTGATTTGTTTCGCATATTTGTCAATTTTCCACATACAAAGAACAATCAACTAACTAATTGTTCCATTTTAGTTATTTTCTCTTTGATGATCTTTCCTTTTGTTGATTATATAGTTGAGTTTCATGTCACCATCGATTTGTTTGTTAATAATGAAGGATTCAAGACATTTTTATGAAAGCCTCTCACCTTTCAAGATCTCTATTTATCATCAATTCAATCAGAACTTGTTTGCCTACTTTGATTAGGCTTCCTGTACCGTTCAATATATTGGATACAGCATACACAATCCTATTCTTCAACTCCAAAATCATTTTCGCAATCAGTGAAAAATATTATTTCCCCTGGAAAAAAAAAAAAAAAAAAAAACTGAGATTGTGGGTTCTTAAAAGAAATTTTTTTTTATATAGAAGAATGGTCAATTCATCATTTTTACAATGAAAAATATTGTATTCTGCAATGTTATGGTAATTTAGGGGGATATTGAGACAAGTGAAAGATGAGGTATTCTACAAACCAAGCAGAAGTTAGGTGGGTATTGTGTGCCTGTCTGCTGTAGCTTTTTTATCCAAAAAATCAATTTTTTGACCTTTTTGGTCAGTTGGGACTCGCATGTGAGAGTTGTAGTAAAAAAGGACGGCTGCCAAAGAAACAAAAAAATCATTTTTTTGGCCCAAAAAATGGGCTCTAGACAAGGGCTGTCCCAATTACCCTTTAAAAAAAAAAAAGTTAACTAGCATTACACAACATTCTCATGAAAAGAGATAAAAAGAGAAGAGAAAATAAAAGTCAATAGACATGTGTGCATTTTAGGATACCGTTATTTACATTCACAATTTTTATATATACATCCCCCTCTATACACATTCATATCAAAATATCAAACATTTAAAAAATTACTATATCCATACACATCAACTATATCCATACACATCAAATTTCAATATTATCCTTATTAAACTATTCATTTAAATATTATATATCCATACAAATTTTATATATGTATCCCACTATAAATACATTTATAATACAAATTTGAAAATCACTATCAATATTTAATTTGGTTTTTACTTTTTATTTTTATATTGTCATGTCATTGTTTTAATATTTAGTTAAATGTTAGCAATTTTTTTTTTTAATTTATAGGATTCTCTCACTCATCGAATCATATATTAATTAGTTATTTTTCTTATAAGCTCATAATTTTGACTGTTTGTGTTTCAGTCGATAATTTTAAGTTTGTTTCCTTTTATAATATAAAAATATTTGGACAAGTATTGAAATATATTTTGAAATTTCTCGTATATTATTATTGATCAAATCAATACTTAAAAAAGCATTAAAAAATAAGATTCCAATTTTCATATCATGAACGAATTATAACTCAAATAATGTGTTATTTTTATTTTTTTTTTTAAATTTCCATTAAAGATGATATTTTATGATTAGGGTTTTAAGATTTTTGTTATAACTTCTTCAATAGAGGCCGTAGAGGGTCCCACGTGGACAAAATTCATGTGGGACCCCCGACCGAACCTTCGTGACGAGCTCATATTATAGCCGAACTCATGAGACTGAACTCCTCCAGAAAGGAGGGCGAGGTTCTTTGGCAAAGGATTCTCCAAAATCAAATATATTGAAATGATGAATGTGATAGCTCCTGCCACCGTCGCCACAACCAACCTATTTGGTCAAATCTACTGCCACAGGCCACAACATATGAAAGGAGAGTTGATATTAGCATTAATATCTTGTGATTAATTGATGTCCATGATGGAAAGTCAAACCCACATGGACGAGGACACGTGTCCTATCATCCGACGATCCACACTCGTTACATCACGCTATAAAAGCTCATACTTAGTTTCATTCAAAAGTAATGCAAGTTTAAATTTTGATAATATAACTTCCCTCTTTACATTCATTATTTACTCCAAATACCGACCCCCTTTTTTACATTGGAGACTCACGTTAAAAGTCCTCACATACTCATATATATATTTTTTCAAAACTGACTTAACCATCGAAGTGCGCGTGGCCGGCTCCACCCTCACCTAAGAAGGACACGTGTGGCTAACATTTGTCCTAGTGTACAAGAATATGACCTGCTTGGAAGTGAAAGGTCTTGGAATTTATTAGTCACATTGGAGGTATATTTTTGAGGTCAACAATTTTAATTAAAGATAATATTTTATATATGATTATTAGAATTTTAGTTAAACAAAAACTCTAAAAGAATATAAAAATATTTAAAAGAATTTATGAAAATAAACATTAGTGGGTGAATTTAGAACAATATATTTTTATTTAACTTTATATATATCTATTTAGGTAAATTTACATAAGTCAAAAAATATAATATAATTATCTTTTTTAAAGTAGATGTATATATAAAAATTGTGGATATAAATAGCGATACCCTTTATATATGTATCACACTCTACATACATCCCTATTAAAATATTAAAATTTTGAAAATTTACTGTTTTTATCCACATCAAATTCCAATATTATCCTTATTAAATTCATTCATTTAAACATTATAGATCCATACAAATTTTATATATTCATCCCGTTATAAGTACATGTTTAGTACAATTTCAAAAATTACTATATTCATCCAGTCTCTATCAACATTTAATCTGGTTCCTACTTTTCATTTTCTATATTATCATGTTGGTGCTTTAATTTTTAGTTATTAATGTCAGCAAATCTTTTTTCTTAAATTTATAGAGTTCTATCAAGTGTATATTGCTCAAGTAACCAAACAAATCTTTCCTCAAATCATATGTTAATCAATTTTTTATTTCTTTATCTTAGTTTTTATTTTATTTATTGCTTATAAGCTCATAATTTTTGTTGTTTGTGTTTCGTCTGATAATTTTTAGTTTGTTTCCTTTTGTAATGTAAAAATATTTGGATATATATTGAAACTAATTTTGAAATTTCTCGTATGTTTTCATCTATCAAACCAATACTTAAAAAACCATAAAAATAATATTCCATTTTTCATATCATTAAAGAATTATAACTTTAATAACGTGTGTGTGATTTTTTATTTTTTATTTTTCTAAATTTTGGTTGAAGAGGATTTTTTGATTTTAGATGAAAATAGTATTTTTATTATTATTAGAATTTTAGTTAAACACAAACTCTAAAAGAATATAGAAGTGTTTAAAAAAAATTTTGAAAATAAATATTACCGAATGAAGTTAGAATGATATATTTTTATTTAATTTTATACATGTCTATTTAAGTAAATTTACATAAGATAAAAAAATATAATATAATTATATTTTTAAAAGTGGGTGTATATATAAAAATTGTGGATGTAAATAGCGATACTCAAATTTTTTCTTATTTTTAACAGACATTCTCGCAAAAACTACTATTCCAAAATACACTTTACCCAAAATTCTCTTTTTAATGATAGTCAAAACTGTTAAGTTGATAATAACCCAATAATTAATTTGTATGGTTTATTCCACTGTAAAGTTTATCAATTCTCCAAGAAATATACCAGGAAATGTTCAATAGATTACTCTGTAACAAACAAAAATTTAAAAATTGACGGTTTCTTCACTCCAAAATCTTCCACTTATCGTCCATTTTCTGGAAATATACCAAAAACATGACTTGGGCTTGAAGAGTCAAGATAGTCTTTAAACTCATATTCAAAGTCTTCTGTAGACTGTCCATTTTCTGGAAATATACCAAAAACATGACTTGGGTTAGAAGAGTAAAGATAGTCTTTAAACTCATATTCAAAGTCTTCTGTAGACTGTGAATATTTTATATAGTTTTCCATTGAACTTTCATACGTGTATCGACTTTGATCTTTTCACGTTTTAAACAACAAAAGAAAACAAAGCGAAAATGTTTGGTAATTCAAAATGCATCTTTTCCAATAAATTTTCATTTTAAGACCATCATTTTCAAGATTTGGTCGTTATGAGATGTTGCAGAATAAATGCAGTAAGTCTGTTTGAATAAGTCTGTCATATCAATTTAGATTCTTCCACAGGTACATATATATAGTAAACGATTTAAGTCCATCAAGCTTTAAGTCTCCATTACACCTCTTTCTCTCCAGCTATTACATGGAAAAAGGCACTTTGAATGGAAAAATCTGTATTCTTCTGTTCTTCCTGTTCATCTTCTCTGCTGTACTCAATCACACTAAAGCCCGAGAAAATAAAAACAGAGGAAATTGTCAGATAGATCATTCGTACACAACGCGTGGGATAGGGAGTGTGATTGATCAAAGTTCTCGCGTTGGCAAGGAGCAGAAAATTGCCATTCAGATTGCTGTCAGTGACTTTAATAAGCTTTCGTCTTGTTCAAAGCTGGCTTTGCACATAAAAGATTTACATGGCAAGTCAGCTCAAGCAGCTTCTACTGGTAAAGTTTATGCTTGCTTAATGAAACACAGCCATTTTTTATTAATTGTAGATAGATGTTTCTTGAAATGTATTACTCTGCCTAGTTTTTGTTGTTTTCTTGCTGTATTTTTAACTTTTTGAGAAAGCTAGAAAAGTATCTGGTAAAAATGGCTCAGTTACAAATTCCATTTGAAGTTGCAGCTATTAAGCTTATCAAGCACAATAGAGTAAAAGCGATTGTTGCAGCGTTGACATTGGAAGAAGCAACTCTAGTCACAGAATTTGAGGAAGTCGCCAGCACTCCCATAATAACCATTGGCTCAGCAGCCATTTCTCCATCACCACTGCTTCCTCAACCACCGTCCATTTTTCAGCTGAATACTGATATCAGCATACAAATGCAATGTGCTGCTGCAATTATTGGCCACTTTAGATGGCAAAAAATCACAGTCATATATGAACAAAGTAATAGTTTCTGTGCCGATTCTAGACTTGCGAAACAACTTTCTGAGGCGCTGAATCCATATAATTCTGTTGTTGAATGCGATCTCGCATTTCCTTCCATATCTTCTCTCCTAAATCCTGATGTCTTTATTGAAGAAAAGCTGAATATGTTGAGAAGCAAAAGCAGCGGAATTTTTGTAATTGTGCAGTCTTCTTTGGAGTTTGCTACAATTTTTTTTGAGAAGGCCAAGAAAATGGGAATCATGGGGAAGGGTAATGTTTGGATTGTGTACGATGATATTGTTAGCCTAATTGAATCTGTGGAGCCATCTGTCATCCAAAACATGAAAGGGATAATTGGATTTAAGGCGAATTATGAGGAAAAAAGCAAGTCTTTTAGGGACTTCAATTTCAGGTTTCGAAAAAAGTTCAAATCAGCATATCCTGAAGAAGAACATCCATATCCAAGCATGTATGCTCTTCGAGCATATGATGCTACATGGAGAAAATGGGAATCATGGGGAAGGGTAATGTTTGGATTGTGTACGATGATATTGTTAGCCTAATTGAATCTGTGGAGCCATCTGCCATCCAAAACATGAAAGGGATAATTGGATTTAAGGCGAATTATGAGGAAAAAAGCAAGTCTTTTAGGGACTTCAATTTCAGGTTTCGAAAAAAGTTCAAATCGGCATATCCTGAAGAAGAACATCCATATCCAAGCATGTATGCTCTTCGAGCATATGATGCTACATGCGCCATTGCAAAAGCCATGCAACATTCTAAAGGGAAAGTGAACTCAAATGAACTGATAAATCACATCTCTTCAAATGATTTTGAAGGTCTTAGTGGAAACGTCAGCTTCAGGAATGGAAAATTGTGGCAAAAACCTTCCTTTCAGATCATTAATGTGACTGGGAAAATTTATACAGAAATAGCATTGTACTCACCAGAGCTTGGCTTCTCAATGGATCTCAGAGATCAGGAAAGAAAGGGGACAAGGAGAGACACTAATATGCATAAGCAATTGGATTTTGTTCACTGTCCAGGAGGTGTGCAAACAGTTCCTAAGGAAAGGAAACTAAAAATTGGGGTTCCTCTAACGGCCACTGTCCATGAGTTTGTCAGTGTGAGCTATGACCAAGAAGAGAAGACATACTCCTTTGGTGGATTTTCCATTGAAGTTTTTAGAGCCATAGTTAAGCAGCTTCCATATCCTTTTCCATATGAGTTTGTTCCATTTCCTGGCACCTACGATGAGATGTTGCGTGCAGTTCATGATAAGGTAAGGATTGGATTTTTGAATAAATTTTTCCCTAACTTCTTGCTTGCTATTCCATAATTATAATACTAAATTGTCAATTTTTTCTTTAATTAGAGTTTGGATGCAGCAGTTGCAGACATAAATATAGTAGATTATAGATACAATTATGCAGATTTTTCACAGCCTTATATGGACTCTCAAATTGTTATGATAGTAACTGCAAAGGAAGATTTGAAAAGGCAAAAATTCATTGCCGTTACAGCCTTTGAATGGAAATTGTGGGTGGTGATGGCAACATTAAGCTTATCCAATGGGGCCATTATCTATTTGAATGAGCACTTGAATGAAAATCCAGAGTTTGCAGGTTCATTTCCTCAGATAATTGGTTCTATGATTTGGTTTTCTGTCACTCTTCTCTCATTCGCACAAAGTAAGTCTGAACTAGAAATCAGAAAACTGATTTGAATGAGAAAATCTTCTCGTCTTTTCATGTTATTAAAGATTGCTGATCTTGTTTGTGCAGGAGAACACATCAAAAATAATCTGTCACGATTGGTATTTGCAGTATGGTTGTTCGTGATTATGGTGATGACAGCATCTTATACTGCAGTTCTAAGTTCTATGATGACTGTGCCAAGGCTCCAGCCATCTATAGTAGAGGTTGATTATCTTCATAAAATTAATGCAATTGTCGGGTGCAATGGGGAGGGTTTCATCCCAAGATACTTGAGGCATACTTTAAAATTCAAGGAAGAGAACATCAAGAAAATTCCTTCTATCAGTGACTACAAGGAAGCTTTTGAAAAGGGGGAAATTGCAGCAGCCTTCTTTATCAGTCCACATGCCGAACTTTTCCTAGCAACTAATAGAAAACGCTATGTCATTGCGAAACCTAGGTTTGAAGTTGGTGGTCTTGCTTATGTAAGATTCAAATCCGAGTTTAATTAATATGCAACACTCAAGGTGGAGGTGTAAACCAGGCTGTGTAAGGCCAAAACAGCCTCGTTTTGAGATGGCAGTGCCTTTGGCTTTACACAGCCCTTTTTAGGCATGCTTGCCATGGCTATGAGCTTTCACTTTTACGTTAATTATTTAAGTGTTTCGCCAATGGGGGCAACAGGCCTCTACGTTTGAATCTTGGTTTCATATTTTGACACCTCTACTACTTGGAATTGTTTTTCATCTCTTGATTTTCATATCTACATTAATTAATCCAGATCCATTTTGGTTTTCTTGCAGGCATTCCCAAAGGGTTCTTGTTTCACTGCTGCTGTATCAAAAGAAGTTCTAACTATGAAACAAAACGGAAAGATGAATACCCTGAAATGTCTTTTTCTTTCTTTCTTGAACAGCTCCTCATCAGATCACCAAATCGATGACCTAAGTTTATACCTTTCACATTTTTCGGGTCCATTAATTTTTTCAAGTATGACTACTGCAATTGTATTCTTGATCATGGTTGTTCGTGTAATTCACCAACGATGGTCGATTCATGACTCAATACAATCTTTACTGATGCACAGAAGGATTTCCAGATGGGCATCATTTCTTTTAGTAAAACAGCATGCAAGATTTGGCTCAGGATTATTTGGGGATCCCACTGTTCAGAGACAGAATAATTTAACCAATATTGCAACTGAAAACTGAGGCGTAGGAGTGCTAACTAGAGCACCTAACCATTTTAATTTGTACACTCATTTTTCACATTCATATTTAGTATAGAAAGTTTTCAATGATCAAGGAATTAATGAGCTATCTACGGATAAATCTGGAGGCCTTTTCTCTACAGATTGTTTCCAATGATGCCTTTGCTGTATTTTTCAAAATGTTGATTTGTTTCGCATATTTGTCAATTTTCCACATACAAAGAACAATCAACTAACTAATTGTTCCATTTTAGTTATTTTCTCTTTGATGATCTTTCCTTTTGTTGATTATATAGTTGAGTTTCATGTCACCATCGATTTGTTTGTTAATAATGAAGGATTCAAGACATTTTTATGAAAGCCTCTCACCTTTCAAGATCTCTATTTATCATCAATTCAATCAGAACTTGTTTGCCTACTTTGATTAGGCTTCCTGTACCGTCCAATATATTGGATACAGCATACACAATCCTATTCTTCAACTCCAAAATCATTTTCGCAATCAGTGAAAAATATTATTTCCCCTGGAAAAAGTAATGAACACTGGTCACATAGAACACAATAAAACAAAGGCTTCCTACTGCAGAAACCGCTGAAGTTTTCCCATTTCTTTTTAAAAGTAATATTTAATGAATATATAATTCTCCTGAATTAGTAAATTTTTCGTATTTCAGAAAGAAAACAAATACTAGAGATGTGAAATTCTATACTATGAATAAAATTCTGTCAGGCAAAATCTTGTTTAGATAGTACTGCTTACAGAAATTTCAAGATAATAATTATCCATTTGCATAAAAATGGTGCTTTATTGTTAATTATAGCATGATTATCCAGCTTTTCAATCTACCAAAACAATAAGTGAATTTGTGGCAACTCATAATAAATACAAAAACTGTGTCTTTTCTCGAAGAATCACAAGGAAACTTTTGCACCCATCCCCTTAAACTATTCACATACTAATTGCAATTTTTGTTCTTCATCAAGCTCAATTCTAGTTCATTTATTGAATAAAGGAAAAGAACGCCACCCTTCTCTATTTTGATTTTCAGGGATCCATCATACTGAGGAGATTCCCGGATTAGTACAATATGACTAAAAACAAGAAGAGCGTCAGTATTCTCTACTCTTGGGCGTCCTCCTTCAAAAAAACTGCCTCATTATCTGTGAATAAATTGAGTTAGGAGATCTAAGTGGAAGCTCCAATCCTTTCAGTCATTCAGAGAGCATAATGACTAAATTAAGAAGTGGCTACAGCGAGGTCCATGGGAAATTCAATATCTGCTTTCACTGAATGTTAAAATGTGTACCGAATATTCAAGAAAATGAATAAACTATATTTTCTCCTTTAAATTCTTTTTATTCTCTCCCTCTTCTCCTCTTTCTCGTCTCTCTTCCTCTTTCTTTCTCTCGTTCTTATTTGACTGTGTTCTACTTCATTAATCTTGCAACAGGCTAGCAAAAGGCAATAATCTTTCACTCAGTTTTAGACCTGAACAGCTTCAAAACCAGGCTTCCTTTTCAATTTCTCTCTGGTTTCCTAATTCGTCTGTGTTGGGCATGTTTGGTAATCGAGGCCCGTTTTAACTTCATAGGCTATAAGCCCAGGATTGAAGAATTAAATCTACACCACAATTGAAGTAGCCCAATTATGTTGGGTATTTAGAGGTAATCAGTCCATTGGACTAAATGCTCAATACCTAACTTGGAGGTAATTTAAAATCACAAGAAAATATGGATAAATAAATCGATATCTTTTCTTTTAACCTCCTTATCCCGTCTTGGATGAACTCTATCTTTTGGATTAACATAATCTTGCAAATCTTGTATCTTAATCATGCAAGACTCATGAGAAATTCGTTCTCCTTACTAAGCCTATAAATTACACATCAAAAAACAGAGAGAAACCCCAAGAACGAGAAGAAACTCTCTGCTTTGTGCAAAAACAAAAACCTCATCTGCTTTTTTTTGTGAATCTGTCTTTGTGACTAATTATGGCCCTGTCCACTTTCTAGAAAAGAGAGAGTCAATAAATGCTTTGATCGTAGAAGATTATAACTCAAACACTGTATTGTCTATCATAGCAGTAATTGAACAACTCTTAGTTTAGGAAATCGTATTTGAATTTAGAATTAAGAAGTAACAAGTTCCTTATGCTAACTTCCATTCCAAATTGTTGGATATCCCGAATTGATTGGGAAAATAATTAGGGAGATTGTTGAAGATTTTACTTACCATACATACAATATTGTAATTTGATTAGAGTTTACAGGAGATTTATTTCCTTTTTTTATTTCTTTCCTCTACTATAAATAGGAGCAATGTATTGTAAATCTTTAATGTGAAAAATATAGTGAAATCCTTTTCCTGCTTTTACCATCATGATATCAAAGCCAATACAATGACAGAAACAGCGGCCAATAACAAAGGATCAATGACCTTTGAATCCTTCAATGAAGAAAAAAAGGCTACCTCTGGCATGAGTGGAGGAATTGAATGTTCATCCTTTTAACTCATGGTAGAAAAATTGGATGGAAAAATCACAGAGAATGAGGGCTATCTATCAAGCTAATTATTGATGGAAAAGCAAAACTTGGGTACCTGTCGGAGAGACTAATATGCCAGCGTCAACCAACACGGTCTCCTTCGAAAATGGAGATCGGAGAACTCCATGGTGACTATGTGTCTCGTCCCTGTGAAGCCTTCAATTGGAAAAACATAATGTTCCTACCGACTGCGAAGGACGTTTGGGATGCTGTGAAGGAGATGTACTCTGATTCTGAAAATTCATCCTAGATTTTAAAAATCAAATCCAAATTGTGGGAAACCAAACAAGGAAAACGTAACGTGATTGACTATTACCTTGAGATGATTGTGTTATTGCAAGAACTTGAGAAGTGGCAAATGATCATATGACAAACTCCTACCTACCTACCACCTATTCTATTTATATTTAACATGATGGAAATCTTAAGGTTAAAATTGTAGATGGTCCTCTATCCACTGTCGTAAGAAAATGAAGTATTCAAATTTTTGATTCTATAACTTTAAAATATGTCATCATGTTCCAACTTTATTATGCAATTTATTATCTATAAGCCAATTAATAAAAACTTCTAATTGCTTTGCTAAATTTCTTCTATCTTACTGTGTTTTTCATGACCTATCATCGAGGAAGACGATTTACAGTGCTAAAAAAAATGAAGGACTCTACTACTTTAAAGAGGTTGATGTGAGTAAATAGTGTCAATTAAAGTTTGTGATTCTGTGCCCTTCCTAACTTTCAATACTTGAAACATGTATTCCGTTCTATCTTTTTTAAACAAAAGCCAATCAATCTTCAATGAGAAATTTGTCAACTTACAAAACATAAACATACATCATTTCCAAAATCCACGTATAAACTATCAAAGCCATTTACCATGATTCACAGTGATGTATGGAGTTCCTCATGAGTCCCAAATAGTAATCATGCAAAATGGTTTATTACATTTATGGATCACACTTGAAGTTGTTGGGTTTACCTACTAAAAGAAAAATTCGAAGTTCGTTCCGTGTTCATCAACTTCCACTTCATAATTCATACACAATTTCAAACACAAATTCAAATTTTACCCACCACTAGTGGCATGAAATATTCAATAACATCATGGGAGACTTTCTGCAGACTCATGGCATAATTCATCAAAGCTCTTGTGTCAACACTCCCTAATAAAATGGGATTGTTGAACGCAAAAATAGATATCTCCTAGAAGTTGTTCGTGCCTTAATGTTTATTACGAATATGCCAAAAATGTTCTAGGAAAACGTTGTCCTTACATCCACCTATCTAATCAACCAAATACCTAACAGTATCCTAAATTTCTAAATGCCTATCCAAAAATTTTAGAAATATTTTCCAACTTCTTGTCTCAACTTTAATCTTTCCCAAAGAGTTTTTGGATGCGTCACATTTGTTCATGGTCACTCTAATCATAGAAGTAAACTTGATCCCCGAGCAATTAAATGTGTTCTGATTGAATATTCTCCTGCATAAAAGGGCTACAGATAATATGATCCTTCCAAAAAAAGGATCTTTGTAAGCATTGATGTCACTTTCTTCGAAATACCTCATACTTCAAAAACCCTTCTTTTAAGGAGAGAGATCTTATATGAAGATCAATTCCTTGACCTCAGTCTCTCCACTCATGAACATATCTTACCTTGTCCATCAATTGATACGTCATTAACAAAAGAAAACTTGAGTCTAAGAAGAGATGTAGAAAATCAAATGTTAAGGAAACACTAGTTTTATTTCAGAAAGCAAAAATAAAAGTAGTTGGAGAATCTCACATCTGAAGCATCAAGAGAATTAGAATAAATGGTAGTTCCAAATCCTCAGAAAATATCAAAAATTTTTAATGTTGACTTGCCTATTACTCTCAGAAGACAAACACGGTCCTTATACTTTAAAAAACCTTCTCTTAAGGGGAAGATCTTACATGAAGATTGATTCCTTGACCTCAATTTTTCCACTCTTGAACATATCCTACCTGGTCCACTAACTAACATGTCACTAACAAAAGGAAACTTGAATCTAGGAGAAGATGTAGAAATAACATAACGATAAGAAAATACTAGTTTTATTCTAGAAACAAAAAATCAAAATATTCAAAGAATCTTCCATCTGAAGCATCAAGAGAGTCAGAACCAATAGTAGCTCTAGATCCTTTGAAAGAATCGGAAATTTCTAATGCTGCTAATGTACACTCCATCTTATTTCAAAATTCATATCGTATGATGCTTTATCTATAGGATTTCTTGCTTTTACATCTCACCTTGACAAGATAACAATTCAAATAACTATTCAGAAAGTCTTAGAACTTCCAAAATGGAGAGAAGCGGTATTAAAAGAAATGCAAGGTTGGAGTAAAATGAAACTTGGAAAGTGATGGACTTGCCACAGGGGAAAAACCCTGTTGGATACAAATAAATCTTCAATTTGAAATACAAAATTGATGGGAT